GCTCAGCCCTAAAGAAGATTACAGTCACCGTCGCAGTGTGCGTTAATATGCATTAAGATAATTAACTTTACACAATTTAAGCTGTACGAAAAGTCAACAGACAATAAATCCGTTATGCTAACAAAATTTCATATCACCAAAGTGGGTAAAAAATTCATTAAAAATATTAACAACACTTTCACCAGCCGGCAAGCCGTGTGAGTGTTTAAACGCCCAGCTCACTTTGAGTAAACGCTGAAGCTTAAAAATTACAAGTAAATGGCATTTTTTCAATTAAATTTCCTTTCCCCAAACATTATACAATAAACTAAATGAGCTGAGGCTGAGCTTACACGGCTAACTTTAGCAAATTGCACAATGTTACTCATACGCCTCGGGGCTCGATTGTATGGCTTTTTAATGGATTTTTCGTAGGCAACTGTTGCCGATGAGCGTGCGTGTGCATACGAGTGTGTGTGAGTGTTCGCGGTAAGTACGATGATTAAGAATTTTGTCAGCTTTGCTGTTGCTTATGCTGTATTATCTGCTGGCTTACTTGTCGTTGCCGAGTGCGTAATAAATAAATTTACTGGGCAATCTTTTAACTTGCCACACACAGACACATCACTTTTTCATCAAACTCTGTCAAGCAAAGTTGCTGGCCAGGCATTGAATGCCAGCAAAATGTGGTTATTTATATACACTTTTTGAGGTGTCTACGTGTGCGTGCGGTGCGTATAACAATAATTGTGTGCGTGGGTGTAGACCTCATTTCATCAACAACGACAGGAAGCGACAATGACCAAGCCATGTTTACATGGCCCGGCAACAATGCGTGCATGCTTGGTTGTATCCTGTTTTGTGTGTCCATATGTCCTTGCTGATATTCTCACTGCTGGCCTGTTGCGTCGTCTTATACATACAGACATATATACACACGCACACGCTCGCACAGACTCACCTTCACACGCGCTATTCTTGTTCTATGCATTGTAGCTATGTATGTACATTCTGATTGAGTGCGTTGACTAGCTGCCTGCCTGCCGCCAGCCGCCTGGGTGCTGTTGTCTTTTTGCTCGTCACAGCTTTTGTTTCACTTCATCTGCTATTCTGGCGTAGCTTGCTGATGATGGTCAAATGGCGCATTCTCACTACGAGATATTACATTTTTGTTTGTTTATATGTTTGTTCAGCTCAGTGCGTTCATTTATCAGCTGGTTGCTCGTTACTTGACCCTTACGCTTCAATGAAAATGTTCACTCAATTACGCTTGAAGGCTTAATTCACGCAGTGCCGAGGAGCTGCATGTACACCGAGACTGGGATTGGGCGCTGTGAGAATTTGCGGGGAAAAAATGCTAAATAATGTATCAGATAGTGGTAGGACTCAGAGAAAGGTGTTTACTATATTCCTGTACATACATACATATATACATGTTCAAAAGTGCGTGAGATTACAGAGCAATATATTGCGGAAATGATGTGAAAATGTATATGTACTTAGAATGAGTTGATAAAAATAATGAATTTTCAGAAGGTATCCATCATTTGTATTGCTTTATTGAGTTCAGAAGGAGGCTTATTGAGTAAAAAACATTTAGAACAGATACATACCTAAGTACGAGTACATACCGATACCATAACTATTTTTTTTTTAATTTTTAATTTAATTTAATTAATCAAAAAAATCACCGTTTATGTATTGGTTGTCGACACATTTATCGATATCACTGCCATATATTGACGATACAATTTTCGATATCACTGCCGATATATTACCGACAGATTTTTCGATATCACTGCCGTTAGAATTTTTTTCAGTCGAGTGTAAATTTTACTAACCTAAAACTTTTAAAAAGGAATTAATTAGAAAGGGCGAAAATTAAAAGAAAGTTTAAAAACACAAAAAAAAAATTTTATATTTTTTTATTAATTACCATTTTGGTAATCCACTAATTTATCGAAATTGCCTTCAAAATATTCTCGATAATTTTATCGAAATCACTATCGCTATATTAGGTTAAATTTAACGGTATAACTGTCGTTGTTACTTCATTGAGTGGAGAGTAGAATTTATTAATTTATACTTTTTTTTAATAGAAATGATATACAAAAACTAGAAAATTATAAAAAAGAATAAAAAAAATTAAGATCATTATTGATTTTTTTTCGATTATTTCGATAAAGATACCTATATTAAAATCAATTATTTTTTCGAAATAATTTTTGATATACGACACTGCTGGTATATACTAACTGTAAACGTTGCCATTGTTAGAAAATTTGTTTTTAATTTCTTTATTTTTTTCACTCTCATTATGTTCATCAGCTCCGAAAAAACTTCAATTGAAATTTTATCTTTTTATGAAAGTATCACTCGGGAACAATGGGTCTGCAAGCTCTAAGTGCGTTGGCCATTTGAACTGATATCCTAACCTAGCCTAAAGAATAAATGCTAAAACCCGATCTTTTTTCATTTTGTTTAAGAAATCTTTTTTTTTTTTTAAATATCGAAGAAGCAATAATACATACGGACGAAATCCGCCAAGTGTACCAGGAAAAAATTGTATGCCAGCATTTTGTTCAAACTCCATTACGTTGCGTTGTTGCTATGTTTACTACTAATCGACGTGTAAAATAATTTTTTTTTTCGCCGCATTTTATATTTAAAAAACAATATTTAAAATAAATAATAACTCGACTTTTATTAGATTTACAGGGGAAAAGATAAAACCAAAAAGCTGACTGTTTTAAAAAATTAAAATAAATAAAAACTACTGAAAAATTTGCAATTAAGAAAAAAAAATGGAATATATTGTTTATTGAGGATATTTATATTACTCGTTTTTCCAAAATTTTAAACGTACAAAAATTGAAAAAATTTTTTAAACAAATCAAATCACTGCAGTGTATGAGATTGCACAAAATTTTGCCGCTGCCGCCATTCACAAAAGGAGCCGTAGTGAAAAAATAACTTTGTTTATTCACTTTTCGAGCAGATTATTATCAGCAAGAAGGCGAATGGCAAAATCTGGGGATTCATCTATTGAATTTTGTATTTTTATATTTTTTATTTGTCATTTAGTTGAGGCGAATTTCGTTTCAATTTTGTTTACTGGGCGAAATGTTGCGGCGAATGTTACCCAACGACTCCGCTCCGTCCGGCGAAATTCGCTCAAGCGATTCGGTTCTGTTTATACTTATAGTTTCTTGGCCTTTTTCAACATTTCAGGCATTTTATGAAGATAAACCCAATGAAAATTTACTTTTAAGTCTTGGTTAAAAGCGTTGTTAGATTTGAATGCTAAAATGTATGTCGCCTAAATCACAATTTGTCCAAAACAATATTTACGTATGGGCACTTGCTGCTCCTTAGAAATTTCCTTCAATTTGATTATTTTAATAGAATGTTGTGTGACACATACATATGTACATGTATACCAAAGTACCTAATTTAAAATGTTTTCAATTGATTTTAAATATACATAATCCCCCACAAAATTCATCAGCAAAAGGTTGATATTTTCCCTAAGCAGCTTATAAGTACATTACTCATACGCCATGACGACCACTATTCGCACTCCTTTGCCTTGAAGCTCATTTTCCGTCACATATTTGGCATGCGGACGCTTAACAGTTAGTTTCTAAGAAATTTGTTGATTTAAAAGGGAGGAGGAAGTTTAAAAATAGCCAAAAAATGCCCTTCAGTAACCATCGCAAGGAAAAAAATGTTATTTTATTTGCTCCCTATAAGCATCACCAAAAAAAAATCCGTAAATTTGAATGTTAGGACGCATTAGTGAGAGTTTAAAAAGATTATTTTTTTTTTAATTTTTGTATATTTTATGTGGCTTTTTGCTGCCGCATCTGTGAATTGTCAAACCCTTTAGATCTATATGTGTTTGTAAGTATGTATATTCAAAGTAGGCCATGGATGTAATCCAATTTCCTTTCAATGACAAGCAAACACAGGAAGTAAATGTAGGGAATGAAGTCAATATGAGATCCGAAGATCAATCGCTTGTATTGACTTCAATAGATCTCGTTGATAGTTTCATTTTGCTGGTGAAATGATGCAAGAAGTGGTTAAAGGGAAAGATAATTTTGAAGTTATTCTTATAATAAGAATATGGACAACAATCAATACAAATACTATCGATAACTTTTATATCGATATCAATACAGTTTATTTTACCTTATACTCATCGATAACATTATGTTTATTTTTATAACCATTCTTATCGATTTTGACTCATTATCGTTGTAGCAACTATTTAGTATCGCGATTGTTATCGACTTTTTAGTTTAAATCGATATTTTATCGTCATTTGTTATTCTGATGTGCTAAAAATAATTAAGATTTCAAACTTTAAAATTGGGTTAAATAAATTAAAAAAAAAATATATATGCACATTTAAATTTTAGGTAGCTAATTTTTTTTTTGTATATCACTTTTTGCTTTATATAGCTTTCCATTTTCGTTTAGATGACTTTAGGAAATTGTGGCACATTTTCTAAAAAAACGCAAATAAATATTATAAAACAAATTTTTTGTTTTAATTTTTAAACAAAAATTTAAAATAACACTTTAAAATATTTAAAAATATAAATTTAGATGCTGTGGTTGACTCATATTTCTAAACCTATGAAAAAAGCAATTAAAAAGGTGCGTTAAAAATAATAAACAAAAAATCTTAAGTTAAAATAATACCAATTTTGCAAGAATTTTGTGCTTTAAAAACACTAAATATTTAATAATATTTACCAAATAACTTCAAAAACCTTGCCTTACATTTTTAACATTAAAAAAATCAAAAATTATGTAGCCAATTTTTTTAAGTTTTAGAAACGCCAAAATTAAATTAAATTTAAAAAATAAAAATATAATTATGTTGTTGTTAATGTAACAGCATACAAATTCCCTCAAGAGTTGTTAGGCAGTTGTGCTGGAGTGATAGATAGTCCTTGCTAAATGTGGGTCGTTCCGGTTACGTAGACCCGGCTACCGAGGGGACGAAAAACACGACTATACTTCACAGGATTATTTCTGTAGTAAGTCTTCATTTACTTTCTTTGCGAAAATAAAATTTGATTTCATGGAAAATATTTATTTTAAGAGGTTTTCTTTGCTAAGAGAAGTGTTTGGGAAAGCTATTCTGATTAAGAATTAAAAAAATAAACAATTCTATGTAAATAAATGTAAGATTATACTTTACGTAATATTGGTTTTTCGAATTAAAAAAACAACTTTTTTTGGTTAGCGAAATATTTGGTAGTTTTAAAGTAACGAAATTTAAATAAATTAAAATAGCTTCAGTTCATTTTGAAAGTATTGGGTTAAATTTTTTTTATTAAATTTTTGATTTGTTCTGTTAAATTAACTTTCAAAACCTTTCAGCTTTAGGAATCAAAAAATAATAATTATGCAAAAAAAAAGACAATTTTTTTTAGCATTTTTCTTTTTTCGTAAATTGAATCATTAGCTAACAATACAATTAGTTATAGAAATAATAAATAAGATTTAGCTAGTGAAAACTTTTTCCATCTCTTTATCAACACCCTCTCTTTATTTCACCAAATTGTTTACGCTTTAAGTAAGCTTCATTTTTGTCAGCCGAATTACACTTGTAAGCGCCAAAGTAACTTTTTGCCAGACTACATAAATAATCTCAAATTATTGTGTATTTATGTACTCTCGAATACTTTCAAACAGTGTGACGGCCCGCTGAGACTGAATTGATTGGCCGCCTGATTGGTTGTCTATATTTGGCAGCCATTCGTAAAAAAAAGTATCGAAAAAAGTGCATAAGTACAGATAAATGTCACAGGAAAAATCCTCGTATTCATTAGTTTGTCGATTGCTTAAATATAAGTGAGCATATCGCACACCGTCTTTAAAAGAGACACAACTCAAAATTATTTTATTTTTGAAATTATGCGCTAAAAATGTACACTGAGCTTTTATCTACCTTTCAGCAAAAGCCGGAGTAAAATTTTCGTTACAAGGTAAGGTAAATTCTCCCTTGTCCATATGATTACCATATGCTAAGAAATAGTTTTTCGCATTTTCTGACAAACGTGAAATTTTGAGTTGTGCCCCTTTTGAAGACGGTGCACGATATGTGTATGCAGTACATACGTATGTGAACTGAATGCTCCCTGCAAAAATTTGAGGACCAGGTGGTCCACTTAGTCGTAGTTTTAAAGTATGTGCAAAAGGACCAGGTTGCATACTAGTAACTTGTTATGCTTACCTGGACCACTTCAAACGTAAAAAAATTGATATATGTGTTGAACACCACCTCTTCGTGGCCCATCGGCAATATGATTCGGCTGCCGAATGTGCCATTGTTCAAAAGGAATAGTTGTCTAGGTGGTCCCATGTTATGCAGCGGTGGACCAGAGGTGGTCAGGTCCAATGACACCGCAATGTTAATGTAACCATATTTTCTCCATATATTTGGAATATTTTTGTTACTAGTGTTGGTTACAAGGTAGCGTGGTTCCGTACTAGTATTTAACCTAGCCCACTTTTTGCAGGGATTTCCACCTACACAAATACGTACATAAATACATATGTCGCGCTATTCTTGACTGTGTTGTTTTTGAAATTCCTTTTGTTGTTGCTGTTACATTATCGCCCTGATTGTCATTGTTGTTATTAATATTGACAGACGTTCGACCTTTTTTCAGTATACAGCGGAAAGCAGCTTACACACCCTCAGACTATGTATGCTCGCGAATTGAATGGCTTGAAACTCTCACTCACTCTAGAATTGACTGGCTGCTTTTTTTGTGTAAACATTTTTTGTTAAAAGGCTGTCAATGGTTTTAGGCATCGTTAAGCGGATTTTTTTCTCTCATAAGCGCTTCATATATGTGTACATGTGTGTGCGTGGTGAAGCGCATTTTATGCTTTGAGTAGCATCATTTAAGGAGAGCAAGGGGGAATGAGAATAATAGCCAAAAAAATTTAACAAAATGACGGCTTATCAATTTTCCTTTGTCATTTTGAAATATTTCTTGTATTATTTATTTCCCTTCTTATTAGGAAATGTGTAAAGTTTGTATGTTTCCCGTGACCGTTGATGGTTTATTAAAATCATTAAGTTTTAGGACATGGCAACTCATTGTATGTGCCTGGAAAAACGTTAAGCCGATAATTGTATTTGTTTTTCGAAAAAAAAGCAATTTGCACGTTTTCGATTGGTAACTAGTCGCTATATTACAGTGTTAATCAATTAAAAATATATCCGAATTTTATGTTTAATTCATCATTCAGTTTTAAAGCAAAAAACAAAAAAGTGAACTACTAAAATTATTTTCTAACTTGGAATATTTTAAATTTCTCAAAATTAAAAAAAAATATGTACCAAACATTGATACTAATTATTATTATTTTTTTTAATTTTTCGGTATGGTAGATAAAAGTAAATTTGAATAATAGTTATCTTTGAATTTTTATTTTTTTCGAACAATTTTTGATCGTTATTTTTTATTTAAATTTGTTGTTCTAACCTTTAGATATTTTCAGATTTAATCACAAAGGATTTAAATCGCCCATAAAAACGACATCTCCATTATAATGGTTTAAATGACGAATAACGAATATTTTTGATCGAAAGGAAATAAAAATCAAACATATTTTGTAGCAATCTAAAATTAAAAAAAAAAATATGCCAGTTTAAAAAACATTTAAGCATTAAAAAATTGCAAACATAATGAGAACTAAATAAATTTATAATATGTAATAAAATTAAAAAGAAAATACATTGTTTTATTTAGATTTTGATCTACCTTTTGAGTAATTTTGAATTCCATAATTGTAGATATTCAAAAACTGCAAATTAATGTTTTTTATTTAATTTTTTTTGGTAGTTTTTAAATAGAAAAAAGTGAGGAAATAAGGAGGTACTGTAAAATTAGTTTTTTTCGGAATTTTTATTTTTTTGAAGACGGCAAATATCTACAAAAAATACTAGAAGTATGACCCAAAATATTATATTTTCTAAAACTTTTTCACACATAAAATTATAATATTTTCTAAAACTTTGTAAAAACTCCAATTGTTGAATATAAAGATTTTGGAAAATGTGTTAGAAATCAAATTGGATCAAATCAAAAGAGTTATAAATACATATGGACACGGATATCTTTTCTTAAATTTTTTAAATTAAAAATTTTCGCTAAATGTTGAATTTTTTTTATAGTTACTACAAATTTGTAGACATTTTATTTTTATATTTTATATTTAATTTAAGGAATTTTTTTTTCTCAGCTTTACGGTAAGCTTAAAAAGAGCTTGTACGCTATGTTACAAACATATAAGTATATGTTTATGTATACACTGTACACATACTATGAGTGCGCTTATTCAAAGCAGTTCTAAATATCAAAAATAGAGACAACTACAAAATGGAAAACGACAAAAAAAGTTATGATATGCTTAATGAGCTAAAACAAATGTTTTGCTTATATTCGGATCGAAAGTATATGTAATAGCAAGCTCACATATTGCATACGTATAGATATAAATTCATACATACATCATTCAAATACATACATATGCACATGCCTGCGTATAAGCACTATATACATTTTAGGTAGACTGATGCGTCTGTCCATAAAATTCACATTGATATATATAATACATACTAATGTATACACTAGGGTGGTCCAAAACAGGAAAACCGGAATAGTAATGCTCTTACCCCCTAGGATATTTCTATATCGAAAAAACTATACCCCAATTTTTTTTTATTTTTAGATCAAACAAGTATTTAGAGGTCGTTCAAAGCGCGCAAAGTTTTCCATCTATTTTTATATGGGAAAAAACATTTTTTCGTAGAAATGGTATAGAATTCTGGAAAATCAATATTTTTCGATCGGAATGTTCTTGTTCTCTTCAGGAGACTTTCAATAATAATACCCAATTGTTTATTATTTATTTCTTATTGCTCTTCTCATTGCATTTTTCGGGGTGTCTATGGGCTTTTGGCGGACCTATAAATTATAGGTGCAATGAAAAACTGCTTAAATAAACAATTGGGTATTATTACTATAACTTTGAGCGACTTCTAAATATTTTTTGATTTCAAAATAAAAACTAGGGGTATATTTTTTTACGGTATAGAACATTTCTAGGGGGCGAAAGCATAAAAATTCCAACTTTAATTTTACACATGCATTTTTGAACCACCCTAATATGCACTCATTTGCCTGTTGCTCATTTATTCATTTATGCTCGATCCTCGCAATTTTGCTATGTGCATGCTTTACACGCACACTGTTGTTTGCTTAGCGCAATTAATTGAAAAATGTTGCTATTAATATAGCCTTCACAACACATAATGCATGTGGATGTGTCTACATACGGCGCGATTTTACTTTTATTAAACCTGTGTACATACGTACATATGTAATTTTGTTGTATAAACATTGTAAACGTTATATTACTGACTACTGAAAGTATTATAATTTTTCTAGAAATTTTTCCCTGTCTACATAAGAACTCACAAAGCTTATTACTATTTGGCTTTACAGCTTTCAATATACTTTTTCGCCTCCCTTCGTCGTTTAGACTAGGTCGCGATAGAGCATCTATGTACATTTAGCTATATTTCGATAAATGTACAGTCAAGAGTATGAAAATAATATCGAAGACGTGGGTTTTTTTTCGAGAAAGATTAATTATAGCAACTTTATTGAATATATCGCGTTCTATCCGCTTACAAAAAATAATCGAGATTAAAAAAAAAAAATTATTTTGATGCTGAAATGCATCTAGAATCTCCTTGGACATTTCTGCATTAAATAGAAAATTAGAAAAAAAAAAATGTCTCTCACGCCTTTTTTTGCGGTTAGGGCTCAATATAGGAAACAAAAAATAATATCGGCAACGATCGTAAATTTATATTATCGAAAGCAATATCGAAAAATATATGAAAGGAAAAATAGAAAAGCATATTTCGAAAATATTACCGAACGAAATTTTGTTATATCATTAACAATATTGTCTACACCGATTACCAATATATGAGATATAATTATCTATTTTGAGGCGCGACTGCTAACACTAGCCGCCTAAATGCACGCTAAGTA